ATATATATATATATATATATATATATAAGTGAATGTAAAGAAGAAGTATAATAATTTCTCAACAACTTAAAACATATGGAAAGAATATTTAAAGGTTTAGTAAAAAAGTAGCTGGTAATTGCTTTGAAGAATAATGAAGAAATACCTTCAAAATCTAACAAATCTCGAGTTGCAATTGTTTTTTATGTACAGTGTTAAGCTTTAGGATTTCTACAATAAGATGTAATAAATCAGATCAATGTATGTGAAAGGAAGGTTAGCTTAAAAAATCTGAATTTATTCAGTCTCAGATGTTGGTAGTGGTTCATATTTAGGTCTGGCTCTTCTTGATCTGTAGAAAATTTCTCCACATACCAGGAGGCACCCAACGATGAAGACCAGATTCAGGCCTAGATTCAGACCTTGACCAGATGCTGAAATTAAGAAAATCAATATATAACATATTATAAAATCAAATTACGGAGAAAACTATTAATTTCTTTGATGACAAACGTCCTTTGCAGTTCAGCTGAGAGCCACACTGTGACGCTACCACTTTTACAAAACATACCAGAAGTGTACACATGTAGTTGGTTAATTTGGCCCAATTTTGAAGTAGTTCAATTATTTAGCAGTCAGTCAATCCTCTCAATCATAGGCAGAATAAGCAGATGCAATGCCAACGAGATGGAGCTCTGAGCCGTCCAGAGTGTCCCCAATGCAGCAGCCCCAGTGAGCAAGCAGGACTCCAATCCAGGAAGGATTCAGTTCAGACTGTAGTTGTTCTTCTGGAATCCAGGAGTCCGGTCAGGGGTTCCAAACCGCACAGAAACGGACAGATCCGGATTCTAGGAATCCAGAGCGTGAAGGCAGGTTCAGAATCCCGTGCATCGGTTAACCAGCTCAGACAGAAACGCACTTGGGAGGACTGGTTCAGAGTCCTGTTGTTGTGATTTTCTGTATATTCAATTCCCATCCAGGTTGGATGTCATATTTATCTTGTGAATAACTGTTATATTCAATTCCAAGCCAGCTGGGAATTCATATTTTCTGATACTTTAAGATGTTTGTTGTCCTCCCCGGTAGGGGTGGTAAATATCTTATTTATTTAGATATTATTTGGGCTGTTATATGTTTATGAACACACACCCTACTAGCTGTGTGTTAGAACAATAAATGAAAGAGTGATTCGAGCTCTAATCATGGC